TTTACATTTAAATGTTATCTCGGTGTAAAACCAAAAAAACGCGTTCTTTCTACGTTGTCGTTTGTTCTTGCTGCGCGACCATATGCATAGAATATTCATGTCTACGCAATTATAAAGAATGCGTCTTTGATAATTTTGTTTAATAATCAACCAGAAAGTCAAAACAATGATATTAGTATCATGGAAATAAATTTTATCATGTACGTCAAAAAATAAATGCAAATGCAAAAATCATGTCACATGTTATTTTATGTGTCCTTGGTGTGTTTGTTTAGAGTTGTTTTATACTACACATCGCAATTCGCAAAATTCGTAATGTACTATAAATCAAGGAAATTATTAAATTAAGTTAAATATTTTCATGTAACTTGTGGAGCTTGTTGTGTCTACTGTTTATCCTTATGCTATATGTTGTTTCTACTTTTTGTCCATGGTGAACTTATCTACATGTTTTTGCAACCAATAAAGATGTAGGAAATCTATAATTCGTCCTCTAATTCATCTTTGGAAACACCTTTTAACTATATATTCTAAAGAATAATTATGTTAAAGCAAGGACATTAATCGTAAGCTAACACGCTAGGCGTTCGTGGTGTTCTACACCTGTATGATAATTATCCATTCAACAAAAATGTGTCATACATGCTGGGGACTATTTATAGTTAATAGAAAATTTAATATGTAATAAGTATCACATGTTTAACATGCGTTTATTCATTTATACGTGGTTTCGTGTTTGTCCTTCAGAGGTATAATAATCAACATTACAATAATAGTTATTGTTAACCAAGGTGTAACGAGTGTTCAACAAAAACTTCAGCTATTCAGTGGTGCATCAATTTACTTCAAGAAAAGACTTTAAAGTGTGATTTACCTACCACTGATTTGTTTTTTTATTTTTTATTTAAGCAATAAAAGTTGAAAAAGATACAATATAATGTTAGTTTTTAAGTGAGAAATTGAAAATTACGTTTGACGCATTATATGGTGCATCAGAGTATCGATTTTGAAATGTAAATAGAATAATTACTCACTCTGAGCTGCAAAATAAAAAAATAAAAATAATAAAAAAACATAAAAACAACTAATAACTTAAAATATTAAATGTAAGCCTAGTAAATTTTTTTTTTTAATGTAAAATAAAATTAATATATAAAATTAAATTGTCTTGGTTTTCAGTAAACAGTTTTAAATTTAAATAACCAAACAAAAAAAATCATTTCCAACGATAGATACCGTGTAAAGGTTAGCCACAGCTGTCACAAAAAAATGTTTGCGAGTCACAAAACTTTAAATAACCTTTAAATTAAGTACAGCAAAAAAACGTGCTGTACCTATTTTAGGTATCAATATTTGTGGCAATATAAATAAAGCGAAAAAACTTCTTTTATCCGTTTGCAAGCCATAATACTGGTCGTACTAATTTGCAAGCGAAAAAACATGTGGTTCTTAATTTCGTAAACCAAAAAACGTGCGGTAACAGGTTGCAAGCCGCAAAGTCTTTTATACCTGTTTGCAAGCCACAAAACCTGCCCCACTATTTGCAAGCATTCAGCATGCGAATAGGAGTTTTTTTCATGCAATATTAAGCTCACAAAATTGACTTTTGAAGGAGAAATTTTTTTCCTATTTGATTACCGAATATTGTATATATTTTTCATTACCGACATTTATAAGAGGTGGTTTTGGCGTATGAGGTTTTAGAGCCATCTTTATAGGGGATAAATGAACAAAAACAATGTCAATTTTAATTGATACCAGAATGTTTTTACCTTATTTCTTAATTACTAAAAAACAATGAATAATTTTTTCAGATAGAAAATAACCGTATAAAATCATTAAAAGACCATTTCTTATCTACAAGTTGCACTTGACAATAATAAATAAATTTAAACATTATCCTTTTTTTGCTCAAAAACAAAAGTGAAACGCAAAAAGACGTTTTGCAATGAAAACCTGCTTGGATTTTACAAGTATACTGCTTTTAACTACTACCTCTTTAACTATAAAAGACTCAGCGCACCCTATTATCACTTCTTTTTGATTTTTAAAAGAATATTTGAAATATGAGAGTATGCAATTTAGAGCAGAAAAGTAGATGCAGCCATTTAAAATTGAACGCAGTATCGGAACGAAAATTGCCAGAAATGTTGTGGCTGTTAAAACAAATTTTGTTTAGCCTGGCGTTAACGTTGCTTGTTAATTATCAAAGTATAATGGAGAACAAATTTGTGTTGCAGCAGTTTTGTTTAATAAAGATTCCGCATATCTTTTATTTTGAATTGTTGGTTTCAAGAATATTACTTTTGAATTGTTGGTTTCAAAAAAATGTTGACATGTTCTTTTATTGTTATTGTTATTAAAAGACTTTTATGAAGCAAAGAAAAAAACATCATGACTTCAAGTATGACATTCTCAAAGTGAAAATGACAAATTTTCTATGTCATGTCAAACTAAACTTATTTCATTACGCCTTGCTATTAAACAAAATGAAGAAAAACTTCTAAATTAAACGAAACAAACTTTCAAATCATATTACTACCATTTTGGACATAGACAAATTAGTTATGCTACTAAGCTAACGTTCTCTTTCAAACAAAACTTTATAAATAAAAAAAATTCTGGAACTGTTACCAAACAAGTTCTTTAAAAAATCATATTTTTAATTAGTTACCTTTCAACATTAAAATTACAAAAATGTTCAAAAAATATGAGTTGTACATGAAAAAAAAGGCGATAATAAATTAAAAAAAATAATTCACGTAGAAACAAAAAAGCTGTAAAAACATATTAAGAACATGTCGTTCCACAAGACTGAGGGATCGTTCGTAACGTACGCAACGCTAAATTTATTACGAAAAACAGAAAAAGCACTTTTCATGTAATGATCTTTTCTCGCCCTACGTTACATAAAGCTGTTTGCATTCTTATTTCAGAAACGAATTAATTAGTCAAGTTATATTTGCTAACTTAGTAGTTTCTTTTGTTTAGATAGCATTAAAAAACATTTTAATACAGTAGACTTATAAAAGACATTTTAACGCAGTAGACACTTTAGTGCAGAAGAATTAACAAAACTTTCTTTTAGTTAAAATCTAGATAAGTATCAAAAACTTCTATTAAGTAGACAAACAATGCCTGCTACATAGCCATATGTCTTCTTTTAATTTTCAGTTTAAAAAAAGGAAAACAGATATCAAGCGATTTAGAGAGCTGAGCAGATTTACTTGCGCATATAAAATTTAAATACTAGGCAAATACTCAACAACTACATACAAGCACTACTATTTTCTGGTTAAAACTTAGAAAAGCTTATATTTTTAAATTTGCTGGTACGTATGTTACCTTGCAAATTCAAAAACAACCGTCTTAAAAAACCAAACAAATAAAGATGAAGAGTAAGAAAAAAAAAAGGAGAGTGAGAGAGGGAGGGCAAGATGGCGAACGTGTTGAGAATCATTGAGTTTTTGAAAAGCTGTCAGTCATAAAGCAGTAATGCTTTGTCAGCATGTTTGTTTTATGGTAATGATTAAATCCCTGCATGAACGTTCAGTTTGCAAATAGAAAACTTTGCAATAAAATTAACATGTAATTTTCAAAAAGGTTTGTCGTCTGGTCACGGAAACCGGGAAAGATAACTTGTTATGCGTTTTCTGCCTTCAATTTTCTGACGTTTCAAAAATTACCAACAACTTAAACTAAAGTTATACAAATTACAAACACTTTGCAAAAAAATATTATTTTTACACCACCGTTGCAAGCTCAAATCTTTTCAAATACTTTATTTGCTCCAAAAAATAGAAGTTAATGGATTCTAATCTGTTTAGGACTGACCACAAGTTCAAAACGTAACACATTTTCAGAAAATGTAGTTTCTCATTACAACAAATGCTGAGAAAATTTAAATACAACATTATACAATATCAACATGATTTCAGCGTGATTTACGCAAAACTGTTTTTAATAAGCAAAAAAAAGTTCAAGATGTTTATCTCTAATAAAGAGCAAAATGAATCCGTTTCAGATCTTTAACGGCATTCAAGTGATAGCTTTTGGTTTCCTGGGTAAAAAAACATAAAGTATTTATAGTTGTTCATACTTTACAAAATTTGGCCTAAATATCATTACCTCGATTTTATTGAAAAACCTTCACTTTAATAGTTCACATCAAAATATAAAGCAATTTTTTTTAACTTGATATAATAAAATAAACTTTTTCTGGCCTCAAAATGAAAAAGTGAGAAAAACAGAGCAAAACTTAAAACGTCACTTCCTAGAACATAGTACAACATTAAAGTGATTTGCATTTCTACTTAACATGAAGTATCGTGTTTACAATCAGACAATCTTTCGCAAAAATTGAAAGCGGAAAAAAGGGCATAAGACGTATAAATGTTTTTGTTAAACCTGTGTAGTTTTTTCAAATTAATTTATCAAAAGTTCAAAAAGTAAATGGATTTACTTTTTGAACTTTTGATTAATCTGGATTAGAAACATTTTATGTTTTTAATCCAAATTGCAAAACATATGAGCTAACATCAAAATGTCAAATTTTTTTCTAACATTAAGAAAGGATTTGATAGGGTACCTCCTTATATATGACCTGGTTTAAAAGGGCTCAACTAAATTATTAGAATTGCATAAATTTGTTTAAAATGAGATGTTATCGTTTTAAAGTTTACGTCAGAGTTATTAAGTTACTTTGAAATAATGAAAAATAAGATAAAATTACAAATCTAATTTGAAAAAAAATTGTTCGGAGAATTTGATTTGTCACACGCCAGTAATCTTCCTCTTTATATAAAGACGCGTAATTTGGTAAACCTATGCAAATTTAACAAACCATTTGCTACGAGAAAACGAACATCGCGATTCAGATAACAGATAATAAAATGGTATTAAAAGATACATTTTATTCTCTTTTTGCGTTTTTACTATATTTCTTTTAAGTATTTCAAAATGAGTTTGACTTACCTAATGAAGTGCGCTTTTTTTCTTAGAAAGTGATATTTGGTGTTGTTTTACTATTCGTGGTTACTCATGGTTTAGGTATCAAAACTTTTTATTTTTTAATTTGTTCTTTTATTACAGATAATTTTTATTTTTTAATTAAATAACTTAAAAAAATATCCATAACAATCTAAAACATGTATGTGTACCTGTAAAATAAAAATATAAAACGCTTTTACCGGTTTCAAATAATACCAGCAAATAAAGATAAGTATTCATCTCAAGATGGATCAATAAAAAATCTCATTCTTGAAAACGGGGAGCCTGGTACCACTTTTTTTTTTTTTATACTCTTTTTACGATTTTTGTCTAACGCATTTAAATCAGGCGTATCAAAGAGTCTGCTTTTTCGTTTTGTATTTTAATAATTGAAAATGTACATCGTAAAACTTTTAAATGCACTATTTGTAATTACTCTTATATCTAAACTAATTGTCTAAATGAATTCAAATGGATTTTATTTTTCGCACGTTATTTTAGGTGAATCTTTAGCGAACGCCGTACTGAAATCAAAATGTAAGATTTATCAAAATTATTTTAATTTTGCAAGCTGAATGATATTATTTTTAGGAAACTTTTTTGTTTTTGACTGTTTACTAATAATTAAATTTATTATAAAGATAGATAATAGGTGTTTTTTTCTTTACTTTAGATTTTGTGGATAATGAAGTTGAAGAGACACTAAAGAAAAATAACTTGGTTGCGGTTTTGTCAAAATTAGAACAATCATTTGATATTTATTTCGATTTAAAACTCAACAGTTTCTCAGATGGATTTAGAAGTGTCATTCATTTGACTATAGGAGAGGATAATTCGAAATACGGTGATCGAATTCCTGGCATTTGGGTTTCTAATCAAAAGTTACTCGTTGCTTTTGCAATAAACAATAATAAAAATGAATATTTTGAATCCAAGCCACTTCAACGAGGCCAGTGGATAAATATTCATCTACGTCAACACGCTGAATCGGGAAGAGCTTCTTATACTTTATATATCAATAACGAAAATGTATATACTGTACCAAACTTAAACCCACAAGTATTTACAAATGTCAAAGTTTACGCTGGAGATCCGTGGTACGAAAATCAGGATGGCTCTATTAAAAAGTTCAATGTCATTAGTGGATATTCAGGTAAGTTTTCTACTTGCGCTCCGCCTCAAAACATTTTTTTAAACTGAAAGAATGTGGAGAGGTTAACACACACTATAATTACTACTTTGTGTAGTACTGGTTGGCAAGCTCACTTATTAAATTTACAAACCAAAACTCAAGCTGGAACATTTTGAAACAGAACAATTTTCTAAAACACTGGGACAACAAAATGTCTCAGTACTACAAAACAACTATTGAAATCTTATGCATAAACGCGTCCCTTTTTAACATCCCCCTATAATCAACAAAAAATTTTTACTTAGAAGTGGCAAAAAACAAAAAGACAGTCGTACCAGCGGAACTTTTCTGGAACGGTTCAACAAAAACAACAATGCCATGGACCCAAATTTGGAAAAAGAACTTTACCTACCACGCATGCGGACCGACTCAAAACATCCTCTTTCGATTTTTGCACAACAGCCTACCTTCTGTGGCCTTGCTAGCCAAAAGCAGAAGGCAACAGATTGTCAAAAACAACAAATGTAAAACTTGTGGTAAAATCGAGGACAACCTTCACATCTTTGCCTACTGTCCTCTCTCTGTTGAAATTTGGGAATATTTTAAACATGTATATAACTCCTTGACGTCCCAATTTTTTTCTCCGATAAATTCGATTTTCTCTATCGGAACCGCGAATTTATCAGAAAAAAACCCTATTTCGCAACTGTTGTTGACATTTACTCAAATCATCATGAGTGAGATATGGAACAGCAGATGCCACCACATGTTTAGTAACATGAAAATCAATCCAATGGCAGTAATCAGGGTAATAATCAGGAAAATCAGGAATATTATTACTTTAAAATATAATTGTCATGTCCGTAGAAACACTACGGACATTTTCTGTCAACTTTTTTGTGTTAAAGATATAATATGCCAAGTAGAAACGAAAGACTGAAACTAAACATATGAGCTAAACTGATACGCTAGCTCAATAAAAGAACTATATGTTTAGTGATGTATTCCATTTCTCTACGATTTATTATTTTTACAACAAAATATTATTATTTATGTTTAAAAAATCACTGCCAGCCTTTGTTTTATGAATTATAATTTCCCTTTTGATGTTTTTCTGTAGCGTACGTAATGTGATGTTTGTGTAAAAGTCTTGTATTTTTTTGCTGTTATATTATTAAAATTTCCTTCCTTTAAACAAAAACTTCTTTATTTCTTATTAAAAAAAAATCTTCCTTTTTAACTTTTTCAAACCTTTTGATTACTTTTCGCACAATGGCACTCTAATAAAAAAAAAATAAAAAAAATATAAAAAATATAAAAAAAAAATTAAAAAAATAAAAAAAATAAAAAATATAAAATCAAAATATAAATAAATAAATATATATATATATATATATATATATATATATATATATATATATATATATATATATATATATATATATATATATATATATATATATATATATATATATATATATATATATATATATATATATATATATATATATATATATATATATATGTATATATATATAACCATGGTAACTATTGTAACACCTTTCATCTTCTTATTATTAAAACACCATTATTATTGTAATTATAGTGAAACTTTTTTTTTTGAAAATGTGTAAACCATAGTAATAGTTGTAATATAAAAAACGATAGATTGTAACTTCAATTTTAAACACGTTGAGATAATGTAAACTTATAAAATTTTGTAAATAAATACTATTTTATAAAAAAAATAAAAAAAATTAAAAAAAAAAGGTTTTCTACTTTTTTGTAAAACACTTTTTTATTAAGTAAATCCTTAAGCTTTTACATGGAAGCTTAAACGACTGCTGCATTTAGATAATAGGTGGTTTTTTCTATACTTTAGATTTTGTGGATAAAGAAGATGAAGAGACACTAAAGAAAAATAACTTGGTTGCGGTTTTGTCAAAATTAGAACAAACGTTTGATATTTATTTCGATTTAAAACTCAACAGTTTTTCAGATGGATTTAGAAGTGTCATTCATTTGACTATAGGAGAGGATAATTCGAAATACGGTGATCGAATTCCTGGCATTTGGGTTTCTAATCAAAAGTTACTCGTTGCTTTTGCAATAAACAATAATAAAAATGAATATTTTGAATCCAAGCCACTTCAACGAGGCCAGTGGATAAATATTCATATACGTCAACACGCTGAATCGGGAAGAGCTTCTTATACTTTATATATCAATAACGAAAATGTATATACTGTACCAAACTTAAACCCACAAGTATTTACAAATGTCAAAGTTTACGCTGGAGATCCGTGGTATGAAGTTCAAGATGGCTACATTAGAAAGTTCAATGTCATTAATGGATTTTTATGTAAGTTTTCTTCTTTCTGTGTAACACATTTTTATTAGGTAAATCCTGAATCTCTTACACGAAAACTTAAACGACTGCTGAATCGGTTTTATGTTGAATTGTTTGTTTTCATCTTTTTTATTCCATTGTTTTTTTAATTTAGTTGGAAAAAAGGAATTGAAAAAGGACGCCATACGAAAAAAGGTGTTTAGGTTAATTAATTAATATATGTCAACGACTTGATTTTTTTATTCAAATTTGTTGTTTTTGTAGTATGCAATTTTTGATGTTTTGAATTTGTATTTTTTATTACAAAATACATCTTTCGCATTGCATTCTGTTTAGTGTCGTATTTTAAAAAAAATTACTGTATATTTCGATGATATATGTATCAAAATATAAGCTAATAGAAAAATAACAAAATATAAGCAAATTAATAACTTTTCGCAATTTACAATATACTAAACGTTCTTATAAACATTCCTGCCGATACCATTAAAACAAAACATCTAAAACTATTTGCAAAGAACTTTTCTTCTTATTCCACTATTGAATCTTACGGACATTCTCTTCCTTCCATTCCAGTCAAACAGGTTGACCCATTGTTAGACATTCAAATCACTCCGGCTTCTGTTGCTAAAGTCATTTCTTAATTTAACTCGTCTACTGCTTGTGGTCCAGACAATATTCCTGTCACAGTTCTGGAAAACACTTGCAGATTTGTTTTCCAGAACTTTCTTCAGTTCTCTCTAAACTATTTAACAAATGTTTGACTGAGTCTTGTTTTCCTGCTTGTTGCAAAATGGCATCTGTGGTTCGAAAACTCTGAAGAAAATTCTGACCCCTCCAATTATCGTCCGATCAGTCTTCTTTCTGTTATTAGCAAGGTCTTAGAGTCTTTGATCAACAAATTCCTCACATCTCATCTTGAGTCAAATAAACTACTGTCAGACAATCAATACGGTTTTCGATCCTCTCGCTCTACGGCCGACTTGTTAACTGCTGTAACTGAAAGAATTTATCGTGCATTAGATGGAGGCAGTGAAGCTAGGACTATTGCTCTCGACATATTTAAAGTTTTCGACAAAGTCAATCTGGTCTTCCCCATAAGCTTGCTTCTGCAATCTTGTCTTCCCCATAAGCTTGCTTCATATAGTGTTTCCGGAAAAGTTTTTGAGATTAACAAATCATTTCTTTCTAACCGGTTTATTAAAGACATCCTTGAAGGCCAACACTCTTCTTTTTTTCCAGTAACTTCTGGGGTTCCCCAAGGTTCCATCCTGGGCCCTGTTTTTTTTTTTATCTACATAAAAGATCTTCCTCACAACCTTTCATTCAAAGTAGCTTTTTGCTGATGACTCTACTTTATACTCCTGTCTAGACAAAAAGTCTTCTCATATCGATCGCCTAGAATAAGCAGCTGATCTTGAATCCGATCTCACTTCAGTAAAAGATTGAGGTTCACAGTGGCTTGTGAAGTTCAAATTTAACAAAACCCAGCTGTTTACTGCAAACAACTACCCAATTACTGACTTAAACAATCTTCAACTTTTCAAGTCTTTTGTCAACCGTTTCCTTGCTCTATAACTCTGTTCCTTTTTTTCCTAGTGACTCCAAACTTAATAGCGGTTGCTTGCAGCCTTGTTGGGAGTGTATGCAAATAAAAAAAAAAAAAAAAAAAAAAAAAAAACAGTTACTTAGAGATCATCTACGATGTTCTTGCATAAAACCTAGCTCGAGAAAATAATAATAAAATGTATTTCTCAAGGAAAAAGTAAAGTTTTTAAAAATGGAATAACTGTGTTTTTTCGGCAAATATCTCCTAACAAATATTTCTGAATAAGCACACCAATATCTCTGGACATGAATATTTTTAGCCAATTCGAGCGCGCTTATATTGCACAAAGATTGGCGCAATATCAAGAGGTTAGAACTGTTTTGTATTACGTTTCCGACTCAAAAAAATTGAGTTAGAACAAATTTTAAACACTTTTTATTTTGAAATAAACGTTTTTCTCTAAGTTTTCAGAAAAGTCAAATTCGTACTTTCAATTCTAAATTCTAGTGTGCAAAGTAGTTTCTAATGTCATATGTGGACGCACATTAGGCGGTCAAATTTGGATGTTAGTAGCACGTTTAACTTTAAAAGTACGTCAGTAAATCCAATCTGAACCTAATATTGACAAAAACATTTTGTTCCGTCCTGTCCGAACAAACAATTTTGGTTTATATTTGGTCTTTTGTACGTGCAATGAACATAAAATTATTATACGACTACTTTGTTGATAAATTTATACATTTTCATTTGTATATATATAACTCAAAACAAATTTCGGGTAGAGCACGTTTTTTGACTTATAAATTAGGTACCATAAGTTTTATGGCTAGCAAATAAGTACCGCCAGTTTTGTGGCTTTCAAACAGATACAAGAAGTGTTGTGGCTTAATACATATCACAGCAAACTTAGCCCTAAATATTAAGTACAGAGCGACAAGTACTAAAATTAATTTAGCAAAACGTCAAGCATATGGTTGGTAAAAAGTAGATTTGCAGAAAAGAAACAGTTTTTAGACTTTACCTGAGACAAAAAAATCATTCAAAAGCCTCGGTGTACATTTTTATTGCAACACTGGAAAGTTCACTTACAAAATGAATTGGAAAGAACCCTTTATTAAAATGGAAAGAACTCTAAAGAAATGGAAAAAACATAAATTATCCCTTAAAGGCAAAAAACTAATAGTTTATACAATAGTAATCCCTCCAGTTGTACACTTGGCTTTTATTGTTCCTATTCCCCCAAAACATTTTATTTAGAATGGAGGCTAAAATAAACAACTTTATCTGGGGGGATAAAGTTCTAAGTCTAAGTAAGGAAAAAACACAAAATAAAATAAAAAATGGGGGTCTTGGAGTGGTTAACCTTACAAGCAAACTCAAAGCAATACAATTGCATTGGGTTTCAAAAGTTCATAATGAAAACTTAAAAGGCCCGTGGAAAGTAGCCATGATCCACATGCTCAATTCTTATAGAAAATTAAATCTAAATAAATTCATTTTTGAAATAACTCCAACCCAAATTAAGGTACTCCCGCCTTTTTACAGACAACTATTATTAAATTTTTGTAAAATTAAACAAGATAACAGTGTGCCTGTAAATGAAATAGAGGAAACACTTAGTCAGCCTTTTTTTTTAATTACAACACTAAAAAGAATAAAAATAAATTTTAGACCCCAGAAAAGGTGCACATTAAAAATTATATTTTACTGTAGCGGACATAACTAAAACTTTTCAGCCTGGATTTTTAAATCCTTTATCAATTGGTTTGACTGAGATTGAAATGAATGTTAATATAACAGCACTCAAAAAAAATTGGATAAATAAAACATTAAACGAAGGACAAAAGTATGATTTTAAAAAAGCGCCTTTTTATATATTGAAGAAATAAGAAAAGTATGAGTACAAAAGACTCACAGTGGCAACACTTTATAAAATTCAAAACAAACCGAAAAAAAAGACGGATTATAAGTATAATCTCTGAGAATCTAAAGGATACCAAAGTATGCAAACGATCAGTGAAAACGAACGGACATCTTTTTTCCTAAATAATAACAAAAGAAACACAAATAATAAAGCAAATGAAATATTTTTTAAAATTGCGCATTTTCTATTACTAACTAATGAAAATAGTCTTATTAGAAAATTTAGTAATGACAAATTAAGACCGCAGTGCAAAACTAAAGAGGAAACCATATATCATATGATGTATAAATGCGAAAAGGTGCAGCCTCTCATTTTGTTTTTATTAGATGCTTTGGATCAAATTTATCCAACGGAATATCCTCATTTAAATACTTTGAAGTTTATTTTATTAAAACACGGGGTCAATGTGGGCAACAAAGAGTTAGCTATATTTTATTGGAAACTCTTGTGTTAGAAATATATTTTAATAGAAAGTTTTTTTGAAAAAAAATGTTATAGTGTAAAGTTTTTACTTAAAAAGTTTGAATATAAAGTTAAACGCTTGCTTGAAAACGAG